CCCTATTCTATTGTTTTCTTCTATTTCTTTGCACTGTTCATTTAAGAAGGCATTCTTATCTCTTCTAGCTATTCTCTGGAATTCTGCATTCAGTTGGGTGTATCTTTCTCTTTCTCCCTTGCCTTTCGCTTCCCTTCTTTCCTCAGCTATTTGTAAAGCTTCCTCAGACAGCCATTTTGCTTTCTTGCATTTATTTTTCTTTGGGATGGTTTTAGTTGCTACCTCTTGTACAATGTTGCGAACCTCCATGCACAGTTCTTCAGGCACTCTGTCTATCAGATCTAATTCCTTAAATCTATTTGTCACCTCTACTGTATATTCATCAGGGATATGATTTAGATCATACCTGAGCGGCCTAGTGCTTTTCCCTACTTTCTTCAATTTAAGCCTAAATATTGCAACAAGAAGCTCATTATCTGAGCCACAGTCAGCTCCTGGTCTTGTTTTTACTGACTGTATAAAGCTGCTCCATCTTTGGCTGCAGAGCACATAGTCAATCTGATGTCTGTATTGACCATCTGGTGATGTCCATGTGTAGAGTCATCTCTTGGGTTGTTGGAAAAGAGTGTTTGCTATGACCATCATATTCTCTTGACAAAATTCTTCCAGCCTGTGCCCTGCTTCATTTTGTACTCCAAGGCCAAACTTGCCTCTTATTCCAGTTATCTTCTGGCTTCCTACTTCAGCATTCCAATCCCTCATGATGATAAGGACATCATTTTTTGGTGTTGTAGGCCTTCATAGAACAGGTCAACTTCAGCCTCTTCAGCACCAGTGGTTGGGGCATAGACTTGGACTACTGTAATGTTGAATGGTTTGCCTTGCATTCGAACTGAGATCATTATGTCATTTTGGAGATTGTATCCCAGTACTGCTTTTCTTACTCCTTTACTATGAAGGCTACTCCATTTCTTCTGAGGGATTCTTGCCCGCAGTAGTATACGTGATGGTCATCTGAATTAAATTCACCCATTCCTGTCCATTTCAGTTCACTGATTCCTGAGATGTCGACGTTCAGTCTTGTCATCTCCTGTTTGACCACGTCCAGCTTGCCTTGATTCATGGATCTCACATTCCAGGTTCCTATGGAGTATAGATCTTTGCAGTATTGAACTCTCCTTTCACCACCAGATACATCTGCAACTGAGTGTCCTTTTGGCTTTGACCCAGTCATGTCATTCTTTCTGGTGCTACTAGTACCAGCCCTCTGCTTTTCCCCAGTAGCACATTGGACACCTTCTGACCTGAGGGGCTCATCTTCCCGCATCATATCTTTTTGCCTTTTGGTACTGTCCATGGGGTTTTCATGGCAAAGATACTGGAGTGGGTTGCCATTTCCTTCTCCAGTGGATCACGTTTTGTCAGAACTCTCTGCTATGACCAGTCCATCTTGGGTGTCCCTGCATGGCATAGCTCATAGCTTCATTGAGCTACGCAAGCCCCTTTGCTATATTACATACTCCAGCCTAATAGCCAAGTTGTCACTTGCTGTTACTTCCTTCCTTGGGAAAGTAGTGACTTGCAACAGAGTTAAATTCACATAAACTTTCTTGACATTAAGATACTGCTTCATTTAAAAACTTGTTTGTTGTTGCCTTATGTCTAAACATAGCTAGCAAAGCGTGCATTCCATAAATGATGCAACTTTAGGCGGAGTTCATGTGTCCAGCATGCTTCCTCACTGTCCCCAGAACAAACGTCAGGCATGAGTCAACCAATCCCCCCCCCCCCCCCGCTCTTGCTCTAATTACTTCCAAGCAGCAAGCGTTTCTGGTCAGAGCTATGAGACTTACCCTTTTAAAGAGAAGGTATCATAAATTTGCTTGTAACTGCATACTGAAGACAAAATACACATTACAGTACAAGAAGTTAAGTATAATTTTATGTGGCCAGCGTTTAACTTTTTGGAAAAAAAATGGCATCAAAGGTTGCAATAAGAACTAGATAAATGATGTAAGCTGCCTTGAGCTCTAAAATAGAAGATGGGATTTAAATGTGCTAGACAAAATGAAAGGAAGGTAAGAAGAATGTGGTTAACTCTTTCCATGAAAGCTATTTTAACTCTCAAATTCATCTCTGCCCGACTGCTTCTCCATCTCCAGGAAAAGATACATGTTTGAACATGTACATGTTTGGGGAGGAGGGAAAACAGTTTGAAAGACCAGGATTTTGAGAGGAAAACTCTGCAAGTCTTGCCAGCAGAAAGTTAACTGAACTCCTATTAACTGGCAATTTGTCCTTAAGGAGCTAAATAGCAGCAGCTTAAAATTAAGGAAATAATTGCTGCCTGTTACACAAACAAGCAGCAAGCCATTTTGAACATGCAAAGGGCAATTTTGAGATCAAGGATCAACACTTATCAGTATCTATTTATTTAAAACATTTGTAAACTATTCCATACCTAGACAGATTCTAGATGAGTATGGCATATAGTGATGCAGAAAGTATACTGCAAAGACAAGTAACTGGAACCTTTCCAAGTGGAACATTTTCCCATGGTTGAGAACTAGGTAACAGATCCTGTTGTGCCCCAAGGATTGGACTGTCAAGTTTCACAACACAGAAGACAATGTACTAAGCCATCACCAGGTTTTCTGCTACTACTTCATATGGACCAGAATCCAGTCAACAAATGGAATCAAGGATTTATGTCTTTAGCATTTAGGCAAACAGGTAATCAAATATTTGAAAAATCTGCATCAAAATGATCAATACCTTTCCAAAACAGACAGTCTCCCCCCTCCTTTTTTGATAGGACACTGAAACTTCTTTCCTAGGTTTAATCCCTTTATTAGCCATACCATAGGCACAGTTCCCAAAAGGCAAAGGAAACAGTAGCAACTATAGATTTACTCAGCATCTTTCAAAAACAAATGTTGCTACCAGCTCATCTTGCAAAGCTGTAAGTTCTTTGGAACAAAAAAGCATAGTTTGGCCTTATGTTTTTTTTTCCTTGCTCTGGATGCAAAATAACCTAGCACTTTGCATCTCTCATGCAGAACATGCATCATATATTCTCCTACCTATGACTTCTCTCCTCTGAACATCAGGAAAATATTCTTGGTGACTCATGGGAATTCAGTGTTCTGACATCATCAGTATATTTGTGTAACCTAGCAACCATCTGACAGCAAAATACCTAGGCTTCTCCCATTCCCAAACATGATAGTTTGGAAGCTAAACGGACATTACAGTGAAAAAAAAAATCAATGTTAGCAACAAAAAAAGTAATTCCAATAAAACTATTATAATTACGAAGTACCTACGTTTATGTTGCCTTACAAACTAGAAAAAAGGCCAGCCCCTTGCTCCACGGAACTAAAAATCTAAAAGCTAACATAGGAGTGGGCTTCACAAGAAGTGATAGAAGATACAAGCACAGGTGATAATTCACTTGCATTTTCTGTTCTCTTCTCTATTCATATAAAGCAGATGGTGGAAACAGAAGATCCAGAATGAAGATTTAATAACCTCTTTACACTTGCAACATTTCCCCAAAGTTCCTTGCAGAATTTGGCATGTCTTCCAAAGGAAACCATGCCAGAAGTTACCAAATTAACTCAAGAGTACAAGAAAGTGTATCTAAATTTTACACATTGCACATGCACATACAGACACAGCATACAAAAATGGGTAGGCAAACAACTCCAACAAACTGTCTCTGTGCTGAGGACAAATGCAGTTCAATGTAAGCCAATGCAAAATGACGCATAGTGGGGCAAAACTCCCCACATTCACATATATACTGATGGAATTCGAGCTGGCAGCAAATGACCAAAAATTGAACCTTGGGATTGTATTGGATAGTTCAATGAAAACATTGACCCAGTGTGTAGCTGTTGTGAAAAATACAAAATCCATGTTGAGAATCATTACGAAATAAATTGAAAATAAAACTGCCAATAGCATAATCCTTTTATACAAGCATAAAGAATGATACATCCACACTTGGGAGTACTTTATGCCATTCTGGTCACCACACCTCCAAAAAGGAAAAAAAATTGTAGAGCCGGCAAAGATGCAGAAACAAGCAGCATAAACAATCAAGGGGCTGAACCAACTCCACTATGAGAGAATATTAAAATATCCACGGCATTTTGGTTTTTAAAAAGCAAGTTTAAGGGTCACAATTATGCATGGAACAGAAACAATGAATAGGGAGAATCAACAAATAAAAAGTAGTCCTGCCCACAGCACATTGTTTAAAACAACTTAATTTGCTAGCAGAAAGATACAATAATGGACACCAGCTTGTATGGTCTCAGAATAGGAATATACAAATTCATGGAAGCTAAGACTATCAGAGGCTACTAGCCAAGATACACTAATACCGGAAACAGAGGTGATATGCCTCTCACTGCCTGCTGCTGGGGAACACAAGCGGGAGGATACTATCATGCTCATGTCCTGCATCTGGGCTTCCCACTGGGGCATCTGGATGGCCATTGTGGGAAAAAGTACGCCAGACTGAATGGATCTTTGATTTGATCCAGCAGAGGTCTTCTTGCAACCTCACCCAAAAGCCAGTTTTGTCAGAATTAGATATACAGAAGGTACCTTGAAAGGGCTGCTCGAGATAAGAAAGAAACTATAATCCAGTGGTAAAAGGGTTGGCCTGAGGCGGGGAAACACAGTCCAAACTGTGAACAGGAAGATGCTAGAGACAGACGTCAGAAAAGATAATTCAATACCGTAGAGGAGGCATTGGGCTCACACGAGGATCTCGGGCCGGTGAGGAGAGGCGAAAAGCCGACGGTAGGCCCTATCTGAGGTCAGGAGGCAAAGGAAGGAAAGCTGTAGCGGGCCTGAGGCAAGTCACGAGGGCAGCCGCCGGAGCCCTTCGGCGTTAACGTAAAGAGCCGTAGGACGGGCAGCGAGGACGGGTCCGGACAGGGCGCGGGGTGCTGCCCGAGAGCGTGGCGGGCGAGGGGGCCTTCCCGGCCACGCCAAGAGCGCTGTGGCCCACCCGCAGCAGGGAACCCGAGAGAGAAAACCCCGGCCGCTTGCCCACCCGCCCCAACGGCCGCGGGGAAAGGCGGGCACAAACTCCCCGCTCGCGCTCCCTCTGCGAGGGGGCAGCCGGCCTCCCCCCGCCCCCTACGCGGCAAGCGGCCTGGCCCCGTGCTCCTTTTCCAACTAATAGGAAGCCACCGGGAGCGGAATCTGCCCCGTTGTCAGTTCGTGACCAATCGGCGCGAGCTTGCGGGGAAGGAGTACTCCTCGTGGGGGAGGGGGCGAAATGGGGGCACACCCGGCTTCGATAGTTCCTCGGCCCCGCTCGCCCTCCCGGAAAGGCGCGCGCACGCGGGCGCACACCCGGACCCACCCTTATTCCTCGCGCTCCTCACCCGTCCAGCGCTGCGTGTCTGTCAGAGCCGCCGCTGCTGCCAGCACCAACGCCGCCGCATCGCCTCAGTCGCTGACACAGCTCCGAACCCTGCCTCATCCGGGTATCCACCACCTAGAGAACGTCACAGAAAGGGTGCGGCCCACCGCGAGACGAGCACAACCCCTTGAAGAAGCGGGGGACGGGCTCTGGGACGACGGGCCCGGAGAAAGGGGCGGGATCATGCAAATTGCGCCACGCCCGGCATGTGCGCCTGCGTGCTTTTTTCTGTTCGCGTGGAAACTCATTTTTCTCTGAGGCTCCGCGTAAGCAGTTAGGGTGGATAGATTTGTAACTTCAAAATGTGATTTTTAGTAGCTAAATGTTCCTTTGATTTTTTCTTTGTGCTTAACTGAGCTTTATCTCCCCGCCTCCATTTAATAAAGAACACAGGTAACTGCATTTAGTTGCAATGTATGTCTTGAAGTGAAATCTAGAAGGTATAATGATACAATTCTATGTCTGTTTAGGAAAAAAAATGTTAAAACACCCACAATTCCCCAACTGCAGTGGCCTAAACATGTCAGTCCTTATTTTTGCTCCAATCAACTAACTTCGTACTCCACTGGAAGTTACCTGCACATACCATGCCATGTAAGGCTACTCAAACCAGTCTCATGAATTCAGGAAGACTTTCTTCCCGATGTGTACAGCAAATGTGCTGAACCTTGGCTCTTGGGATTCCACTGTAGCTACTCAGTGGGGTTCCCCAGACTGCCACTCTTCCTCTTGCAGTGCCCTTCACAGGTGAAGCAACCAGAAAAGGCCTTCTTAGTGATGACCTCCAAGCTCTTTCCCTCACAAGGCCCTGTAGTTCCTGTTTTTCAGAGGCTGACTAAAAAAGAGAGCTCTTAACAGCACTTAGTTTTGAAGATCCCCTGCTGCAGTACATGCTAGCTTTAATTCATCTGTGATATTGTTTTAGTACCTTTTGTTAATGATGCTATGGTGGAGGAGGTAGCAATTGTGGTGGAAACTTAGGAGATGGGGGGGTCACACACTTTGAATTGCTCAGGAGGTAAAGCTACAATATTAAACTCAATTCATTGCATGTTTGCTTGGGAGTAAGCTTCACTGAATGCAGGGGTTGAGGCATACCACCTGGTAATTATGCATAGCTGCAGTCCTACACACATGGTTGCCACTCCCATATTCTCAATCCATTGTTTCTGATCCCCCCCACCCCCCCACCCCCCGCTCCAAATATGACATCTTACACTAACCAAAGTTCTGTAGGGAATGAGGGCAAAAGGACATGCCTTCCCACATAACTTTGAAAAATCTGTGGAGAATATATTCTGTGGCGCATGAGAGACTGCATCATTGCAAAACAGTGAGCGTAGGAGAAAATTATGTGGCTCATACTAAACTGCATGAGAAAGTCTGTTTTGCACACAGGAAGCCAAGAATAGGAAGTTAAGAGAGGAAGGAGGACAGGAAACAGTCTGAGACCACCTTCATAACTCTGCCTTGTCTGTCTCCAAGTGACCTCACTGCAGCAAGATCATGCGATACTATTCTGTACATATCAGAAACAGAAATAGCAAACTTCAGAACTGTGTTTCCTGTACTTTGTTTGCTGAACTTTGGGAGTAGAGTAAAAGGAAGCTTGTTGTTCTGTGCCGTCAAGTTGTCTCCAACTTATGAATGACTGTGAATGACTGTCCTCTGAAATGTTCTCCCCTACACAGCCCTGCTCAGCTCTTGTAACCCCACCCCAAGACGGTGGCTTTCCTTACGGAGAACCAAACAGGATAGGCCTTTGGCCTCATTTGCCAAGGTTCTGCCTATGTAGCTTTTCAAAAAAAAGTTTTCCTCTCACTTCCTTACCTCTAATTTGAGATGTGACAATTTCTGTTGCTCTTCCATGTCCAGCTGCCATAGTTAAATGTTGCAAACTTCTGCCGTAATATTGCCTCAGAAAGACTGATGCTGACAAAAACAAAACAAAACCAAACCACAGTTTTAACCTGTTAAAAATGGGCTTCCTGGTCTGATCAGGAAACATGCTGTCAGTCTTGTTCCTCACTTACACCCAATTTAGATATGCTAAATTTATGTTGCGTGACCCCCCACCCCACGGCCCCTTTGTCCCTTGTCTTAACCAATTCAAGCCGTGTTTTCATTATCACCTGCCTCTTAAAAACTGCTCCTGCAAACTGCCTTTTTGTTATGTGCAGTCAAGTCACCTTCGACTGACTCTGTGACTCTGTGAATGAAAGCCCTTCAAAATGTCCTGTGCGTGACTGCTCCATTCAGCTTTTCCAAGATCAAGGCTGTGGCTTCCTTTATGGATTCACCCCATCTCGCATTTGGTCTTCCCTTTCATCTTCAACCTTCGACTTTGCCCACCATGATTGCCTTCTCTAGTGAGTCGTGCCTTCTCATGATGCGTCCAAAGTATGAGGGTCTCAGTTTTGTTATTTTTGCTTCTAGGGAACGCTCTGTTTTGATCAGATCTGAGACGCACTTGTTTGTCTTTCCGTTGGTCCAGGGTATTGGCAAAGCTCTTCTCCAGCACTGTGTTTTGAATGCATCAGTGTTCTTCCTATCAGCTTTCTTCATTATCCAGCTTTCACACCCCTACATTGGGATTGGGAATATGATAGTTTGGATGATCTTGATCTTGGTTCCTAGAAAGACATCCTTACCACTTGATGATCTTTTCTAGTTCCTTCTTTGCTCCAAGTCTCAGTCTTCTTCTAATTTCTTGACTGCCTCTCTGACTAATATATAGAAATATTTTATAAAAGCCACCTGTATAGAATCCTTCTTCCTAATCTCTTTTGGGCTGCCTACATGCTGCATGTAATCTGAGTCCAGACTGTGATCTGAAGGCACATATGGCATCCATCATGTTGAAACTAAACAGGTTTGGGGCTGACCTGAGCTTGGAGGGGAGACCACCTGAGAGCTGCATTAGTTCCACAATAGAAGAAAGGTGGGATATAAATACAATAAATACCTCTATTTCACGTAGCTCTAAAATACCTGTAACAGTCTTTCGATTGTACACCCCCAGTGTATCTGCTCTCTCTGGATTTTGTCACAGCAAATACTCTAGTTTAAGACTGGCTCCCTTACCTTTTGTGCTGTCTCCTTAACTGCTCTTTCTTAGGCTACTGGATTGCAGGGATAATTTAGCTAAAATGGAGATAAGTCAAGGGATGATTTTTGATTTCATTAACACCCCCTCCCCTCCCCTCCCCTCCCCTCCCCTCCCCAACACACACCTTTCTTCTCATATTGTGATCACTGTCCCCCGTTGTTATCAAGGCCCATCTTACACTCTTGCCTTACTAGGGCAGCAGTGGAAGAAGATTTGCTTAAAAATCTAGTTCATTAAAAGAAGTATTATTTCCAAATCATGAGTAATACTTCCTCTTTACTCCTCACTGGTCAGACCTCATCTGGAATACTGTGTCCAACTCTGGGCACCAAGATTTAAGAAAGATGCATAAAAATTAGGAGGGGTCCAGAGGAGGGCAACAAAAATCCAGGGTTTGGAAACACTGCCCTATGAGGAGAGACTGAGAGAACTGGACATGGTCAGTCTGGAGAAGAGAAGACTGAGAGGGGACATGATGTCTCTCTATAAGTACCTCAAAGGCTGTCACAAAGAGGAAGGTCAAGATCTCTTCTTGCTGATGCCAGAGTGTAGGACACAGAATAATCAAGTCAGGTTGTGACAACCCAGATTCAGGCTGGACATCAGGAAAAGCTTCCTCACCTTCAGAGCAATATGACAGTGGAACCAGCTGCCTGGGAAGGTGGTGGGCTCTCCCACACTAGAGACATTCAAAGAGAAACTGGACGTGGTGCAGGGGCTGGACTCGATGGCCTTCATGGCCCCTTCCAACTCTACTATTCTATGATTCATGTTTGAGTCTTGCATTTTCTTCTTTGGCCTTTTTTGGCCATTCATCCTGTGCAAATTTATTGCTATGCCTATCCATTTTAAAGTTCCTATCAGTATTCAGAAAGCTTCTGTGCCTCATTCGACAAGAGTGGCTTTAGGCTGTGTCTTCCAGGAGCATTTTCTTTTGCTGCATTTGCACCTTTAATGCATCATTGTTTTTGCTGCTTAAAAATAGCAGGATGTGACACAAGGAGAAAGAGTCTGATGTTTGAGGAAGAATAGAAAAGAGCAGTAAATAAGCACAAGATTCCTGCAACAGTGGCTGGAATTGGTAGGATATAAACTGTAAATTAGGTGTGGGCAAATCTGAAAGTTTGGGGCTGTACAGTGCCATAAGTGGCCATGCCGGGAGAAACCTGGGATTCTTCCAGGAAACAAAGCATGCAACCCTTCCCCCCCCTGCATAAAATGGGGGGGGGGGAGAGCAGCTGTGAGAGATCACTGAGACCGTGGGGGTGGCCACAGTGATGGCAGAGACAGGATGGGCCTCCACAAATAGCTGTGGTGGGTTGCATGAAGCCCACGTGCCGCTTGTTGCCTATGAGGGCAGCAACCACATTTTAAGACAAGGGATTCTCTCTCACTGAGAGGCACAGAGGAGGGAAGGTGGCAGCAAGAAGGGACCACCTCTCTCTTCTGCTTTCCTGGCATGCTCCTCTGTCAAACAAAACACACTTTTATTTCTGGTTTATACATGGCCCCCCGCTC